GTCTGTGATGTGTGAATAACCAATCGAAAGCTCAGAATGGCCCCACGTGGTGTTCTGAGCCTCTGCAAAGTACTTACATGAGAAACTCTTTCTTTCATGGTAGGTTCCAATTGGTAAAGTAAAACATTATTGAGCTCAAAATATCATATTTTTTTAGACCCAAATACAACTTAGCCTGATAAGTTATAATGAAATTCTGTAGTATTGATATAGTAATCCATGAGTTTTTTAAATTTAAAAATGCATATATAAAATCTAAAAAAAATATTTTCTTTTGCTTTCTCCACTTGCAAAATTTTATAAGGCTTACCAAGTTACGACAAGCAGGAAACAAGTACAAAGTTCGTAACTAGAAGAGATAATTGTTTTCTACACTTCTTTATTTGCTGTTCTATGTTTTAAAAAAAAACTGAAATTTAAGAACTTATTTGTAAATAGTAATATATATATATAATTTGTAGTAATTCTAGAATGATGTATGTCTGGTCTAGAATGTTGAAGCATGTTTGTGTGAAAGATGTATGTCTAGTGTAGAATGTTGAAGCATGTTTGTGTGAAAGATGTATGTCTAGTGTAGAATGTTGAAGCATGTTTGTGTGAAAGATGTGTCTTGTCTAGAATGTTGAAGCATGTTTGTGTGAAAGATGTATGTCTAGTGTAGAATGTTGAAGCATGTTTGTGTGAAAGATGTATGTCTAGTGTAGAATGTTGAAGCATGTTTGTGTGAAAGATGTATGTCTAGTGTAGAACGTTGAAGCATGTTTGTGTGAATGATGTATGTCTAGTCTAGAATGTTGAAGCATGTTTGTGTGAATGATGTATGTCTAGTCTAGAATGTTGAAGCATGTTTGTGTGAATGATGTATGTCTAGTGTAGAATGTTGAAGCATGTTTGTGTGAAAGATGTATGTCTTGTCTAGAATGTTGAAGATGTTTGTGTGAATGATGTATGTCTAGTCTAGAATGTTGAAGCATGTTTGTGTGAAAGATGACTTGCAAGATATATGCCTGGTCTAGAATATGCTGTTGAAGCAGTTTCTGTAATAGATGGCTGATGTTTGTATACAAAAATTATGGTAACTAGCAATCGTAAGCCAACATTTCTAAATTGGCATTATGCCAACAATAATATACTCGTATTGAGTCAGTATTTTTAAATGTTTCAAAGCCTTTTTTTTAAGTGCTCTTCCCCCTCTCACATAATTTCCAAAATTCTTGTTCCTCATTTTGATTTATTTATACACACACCACTTTCCTCATTAAAATCAAAATACTGTTTGAGGCTATCTGGCTTACTCAGGAATAACACTCCTGTTTTGTTTTTCTGTTTTTATTAATGCTGATTGTAACATGAAACATTTACAGTGCTCATCGTGTGATGTTTTGGTTTGTTTTTCTGTTTTTATTAATGCTCATTGTAACATGAAACATTTACAGTGCTCATCGTGTGATGTTTGTTATGGAAAACTAACATTACATATACACATTTATATCTGTAGGTAAAACGTAAGCAGTAGACTATTCAGGATCACAAGGTTTAAATTTTTTTGTAATTGCTACATAAAAGTTTGAGTGCATACATGATGTAAAGTTTTCAAAATTGAGTTAGTTGGATAACATTACAAGCACATGTACATGTGTTTATCGATTTGTATATACAGTTACACTGTATTTCTGTAGATATTTTTCAAATATTATGTGACGTTATACTTAGCTGTATAATATAGGTTTTATTTGTACACTTTATTGTGTATATAACTATACCACATGGCGTATTATATCAGAAAAGTCCTGTAAGCAAAAAAAAAGTTGACAAAATCCATTTTTTATATCCAAATACATCAATATCCAGTCAAGGACAACGTTATGAAGTTAGTACATGTATGTAACCATCTTAACGAACACCTCCTCCTCTCATGACGTGTACTTTTTCATATTTATTTCCCCACACTCTTTAAACGTTACCATTTTTTACTCCTGAACAAGTGAGTCAAGGATTCAGAAGCTCTTGAAAGGTGTTTTGAAATAGCCACAGGCAGGAATGTGAAGCTTTTTTTTTTGTGTGTACTAAGTTCCAGAATAGTAGAGATGAGAAATGTACTAATCCAAACTGAAATATTAATTAACTAAATTATTAATTATATATTGATTTCAATTATTTCCTTCTTGTTATTGTATGAGGCTAAAAATAATGCAATTTAATTCAGAATATATAAAAACTGTAAAATCTATGGGGAGATTATTCAATCCACACGTACCTGTATCATGAAATCAGACCACATGGTTATTGAATGTTTGAACACCTTGCGGTTTTCCATCATGACTATGAAAAAGGTCACAGAGTTCCCGGTCGGTGGTCATTTATTCCGTATCAATACAATTTTACATTAAAAGATAACAGTTCTGATCCAAGTGAAAAATAATCGCGTAGATTAGAAATAGTTATAAGTGTAATGTTAAGTAATTTACAGGTTGGTAGTGCCTTTGTGTCGGTATATGATGTTGACGATGGATTAGCTTATCGTCAAACAGATTATTGATCTTACGAGAATTTTAGTGACAGTAGGCATTTAATGATATAAAAGAAAAAATAACATGATGTAGCACTTGTATTTATACACACACACACACACTTCATGAAAACAGAACTACATTAACCCTAGATTTCCAGAGCAGTTTTCCCCCAAAAAACTAAACTTCTTTGTTCCTTGGGTGGAGTGAATTTTCTCTCTACCACAAAAAAAAAGTTTCCAACTGTTGTAACTAAGTCCATTCCAATATGGTCCTCAATTCTCTTTATGTACATTTGTGTTCCATCAACGTAAGGTTTTATTTTTAAAACGTGCATTAGTTATCTAGTTGAGAAAAGTTTAACCTTATTCTCTGGTGTAAGACATTTTTCAAAATAATTAATACAATTACACTTACCTTTATTTTTAGCCAAATTAATTATAAATATATACAGGGTATGTATATGGGGTGAGGAAGGAGGATGATAACAGTAGATACTCCACAGGAGTATATCATTCCCTATGGATAGATTTCCCCCCGGGAATAATGGCTATAAACCAGTGGTTCTCAAGCTAGTCATAGTGATCCTCTGCATGCTAAGAAAAAATAATTACTCGTAGTTTACTACATCGGAGACTGCAAGGGAAAACCCATAAAGTGTAAGTCTGACTTGTCACAGTTACTAAGGTATACCTGGTAAGATAAACAAAGTTATTTATATTTGGGGGGGGGGGGATATTTCTATTTTTCAAATCACTGAGCCTTTCTTTAAAAACAAACAAGAAAAAACATGCACTTCTGAACTCGGTTTTATCCAAAAGTTCAACTACAAATGATATTTAAATTACCTTTATTTTGAAAGGTGAATAGATTTTGATCTAAAGACCTATTACCTATGTGTTCCAGGATTGTAAATAAATACACATGTGGTGGCTGTAATGTCACTTACATTGGCAAAACTATACGCCAATTACACCTGTAAGCCTGCAAACATATGGGAGTATCAAGCAGAACTGGTAACAAAAACTATCAAATCCACCAGACTCCACAATTGGCACACATTGAAAACACCAATGACCCCATCTTGATTATGAATTTCAAAGTCATCTCATCTGGATCCTCCAATATTGAACTTTTAATTAAAGAAAGTTTATCTATTATAAATGAACTCCGAACTTTAAATAATATCACAACTTCACTACAATTAAGTCTGTTCTGAATAACTTGTATAATATCATTGCATTAACCTATCCTTTGCTTATTTGGTGTCTTTTAATTTATTTCATCATTTTATTCTGTATTTTAATTATTTTCATAAAATGTTTAAACTTTATAAATATTTGTACCTAATAATCTGTTTAGTATAGCTTGCTGAAGATGGAATATGTATATTCCAAAACGTTCAAGAATTAAATGTTTGTTACTGTACACACACACGTGTCAAATGTTCGTTGTTGCTCCCATTGTTTTGTTGTTCATCATTAAATTTTGATTCCCGTTGAATGAATCTGTTGCTAGCATTATTAAATGACGATATGGGAATGATACTTTATAGCTATTTCATTTGCTTGAAAAAATTGACATCAAACTTGCAAACACCATCAAGTCATCCCCAAATTCTTCTACTTTAAAACTACAAATTGTTACATACAGAAATCTCCTGCCTATTTCTTGTGTCAGCGTCATCTTTTAGAAGAAGAACAGAAGTTGAAATTCAAACAGAAGAACCAGTCTACCACTCAACACAACTCAGCGAAGAATGAACTAAGAAATAACGTATCATGGATCAACTTCAACTACTTGCTTAAACTGGTTAATAATATTAGCGCAAAAACTGAAACCTGCCTGGAATACAAGCAGAATGTTAAACTGAATAAATTAATTCCACATTATTGATCCTAATAAGGTAATTTTTAACTTTAACCATGTTGTACTCGGCGAACCCTGTAAAAGTGCCTAAAGCTTTGCTTACTTCTCTGTAAACCTAAATTCTCTGAACTCATTAATTTGAAAACTGCTGCTCAACAACAGTTACGTTCTTGGAAAATGTCTCTGTGCAGGGAAATATTAAAATAGAACTGCCGTTCCCTCACTGAAAAAAACTAGAGCCGGTTTTAGTGTGTGTAGGGGGTAGTTTTCCCTTGGGGGAAATCACTGTAACACATTGTCTAGAAGTTTGATTGAAAAACTTAATACATGTGTGAATTTGATTAATTTATTGTGAAAAAGCATTTCTGTCCATAAAGAAAGAGTTTGAGAAATTATTTGTCTTGTATCACTTGCCAGTCTTCATTTAACAGTATGTTCTTTGTTCTTCCTTTAATGATTTATTTAGCAGAGTATCAGCAGAACCTCCTAATAGGTGTGAGGTTATTCCTGGATCCCCAGGAACTTACAGAAGAATAAGTGCCACCAGCCTTCTGGAACCAGGAAGAAGGTTTTCACTGAAGTATCTTGAAAGGAAGATGGCAGAGGTATCTGTGTCAAGTAGCTCTACGTGGCCAATTGAAGAAGATGCATACCAGTTAGTGGAAGTTATAGGTACGTATTAGTCGTGTATTGTAGCACGGACTAGAATAGTAAACCTTGTAGGATTTACTAGTTAAGCATCGTAGTGTGAACAGGTTAACACAGCCTCATGTTCTCAAACACAAGATTTTATTAAATGTATCAAGAAAGTTGAATTGTCGATGTTAGAGTAGCAGTTCTTTTGCAAGTTTAATTCTAAACAAACAAGCAAAAAAAATACTGGATCAATCTTTAAAAGTAGAATACATTACCACCATGATTGTGACAACTAAACATTTGTAAACTGGTGCTGAAGGGAGAATTGTTGGGTTAATCTGTAAAACTGGAATAAATGACGACCACTTTAAAACCATTACTGAAAGGAAGAACTGTATGGGTTATGTGGAGCTAATATGGTTTTCATTTTATTTACCAAGTAATTTGTATAAGAAACTTAAGTTTATAAGATATATCAAACTGTAAATTATAAACTGGTTCTGAAATAATACAACTCAGTTAATCTATTGTATTGTCTTGCATCTAATGATCTGTGATTGGTTTAGTTTCACTCTGTGTGTATGATATTGTTAAAAGGTCAAAGTCAGCATTTAAAAAAAAAACAGAAACATAACCACAAAATAAATAAATAAAAGCAACAAAACAAAAAGCTAACAGTCAGCCATTCTACTGATGCCTATTCTTTAATTAGAGATTACGAATATCAAGGGTAATATGTTTAAGCTTTAGAACCAGATATAAACTTGTTCACTAGCTAAAATTATTTTTCTCTCTCTCTAAGTTATAAACACATGGAATGGTTTGTCTGAAAATGAGGTGAGAGCCATTAGCCTAATTTCACTTAAACATTTGTTGAATAGGTATACAATGATGTGAAAGTAACAGGTTTTAGTGCTTGGACTCTAGGTGGTGAAGGAGTGACCTCGATGGTCAAAGTGGCTTTTGGTCACCTTGATAATTCTCACATTCTAAGAACCTGCACTAGTCATTCTCACCTGTGATAATTTATTTTACTCTGGATACAACAATCAATTTACATTTAATCTACATATTTTGCCGAGCTATATTAGAAATGTCTAGTGTGTCTGTCTGTCTTTTATTGCTTGCATGACTTTCAGTTACAAAACCTTCAGTAATTTTTTTTAAAATCAGCAGGGTTCTTCCTCATCTCCAAGGGAAGTAAACTATGAAATTCGATTAAGATATACTGTTTAGAACTCTAGTTATAAGCAAAAAGTAGATGCCTAAGGATGGAATGACGGTCACTCATCACAGTATGATACTTGAGGTGTCCGTGTAACTAATGATGTAAAATTTTAGTTTCCTAGACCTTATTAAATGTTTGCCCTTTTTATATTTTTTTGTGTTTGTGTATGGCAACAAAATTACTTGATTAGTAGTTAGTTTGTACTTTTGACACCATTAATTGTTATTTTCGTTAACTATCCATAAGTGTAAAAACACTTAGATATGTATTTTGATTTAATAGTTTCACACATCTTATCAATAGTTAAGCACTCCTGGGAATGCAAAGTGACTGTCTTCATAATGTCATGTTGAAATAACTCCATTGTCAACCACAATACAAACAGCCATGCCACAAATAAAAGGATCCCAGGAATTAAACATATTTTCATGAGGTTGCACAGTTGGATCACTTGGGTGATGAGAATGTGATCAAAGTGAGCAATAATCACTAGATTATGTTACAATACCACTGTCCACAATTAATACGTTAACAGACCAGTTCCAGTCACATCAGAAAAACTACTTTTTCACAACATGGGTGCTCACAATGAACTGAAAGACTGTGTGTTTTGATTTGATGAGTGTCATATGTCAAATGGCCACTACTGCTGCAGTTGGTATTGTAGATTTCTATCTCACACGCTCCTTCGTTTCTTGGGACAGTTAATTTTTTCCAGACTTGTACAAGTGTTAGACAGTAGAAACACCTGAATTTGGCAGCTATCTTCCCAGCAACATTTGTTGAACTGTCTGCAAACCATGAAAAATTACGGTAATATTCCTGTTATGGTGGGACAGATGGATAGTCACTGCAGGTGGTGTGTTAAAGGGTGGTCACTGTTTCTCAGTATATCATAATTTTTGAGCAAGGAATTTTCCCTTTATAACCAGATGAGGCAGTGTTTTCAGTCAAAATAGGATTCCTACATGAAAGTTGGGACATTATTACTCTCCTGTGGCCATGCCAGTCACCAAATATAAACCCTTTGAACATCTGTGGTCCAGGATTGATTGTTCCTTGCAAAAATATCTGAGACAGCCAAGTTGTAGGAACACCTTTGTCCAAGTTGGGCGTAATCCTGCAGGCTCAGATTTAAGGTCTTAGAAGTCTAATGTGTTTCTGCCTGAAATAATGCAAAGAGCAGCTCCAAAGAATACCAGTAGTAGCCTTGTACTCTTTGGTTCATGTTTGTTTATTTAATAAAATGACATTTTTTCAGGAATGGGTGTCTATTTACTTGTTTGCTGTCCATTTGAAGAACAATAGTTGTGGAGTTAAACACCACATTTTGTAGATTTGAAGAACAATAATTGTGGAGTTGAACACCACATTTTGTGCTACATAATTATTGATAGTAATACTCATTACATACTGTTTGTACATTGGTTATTTTATATATATTTTTGTCATTACCTTGTTCTTTCTTCTGGAAATTGGCTGTTGTTGATAATCTACTGTAGATTTTAAAGATGCATTTCTTATTTCATTTTCTAGGTGTAGGGGCAACAGCAATTGTTCACAAAGCTTTCTGTAAACCTCGTAATGAAGAATGTGCCATAAAGCGGATTAACCTTGAGAAGTGGAACACAAGCATGGATGAACTGGTAGTAAGTGTCTTATTTAATCACTCTTAGGACTGGTTAGTTAGTGAAAGTCAGTGTTCTGTTAGTTATTGTGGTGACTTCACTCTGTAAAGTAGAGATTTATAAACTTCCTTGTCTGGAATAGTACACACATTCACAAAGAAAAAGTTTGAAAGTCTTTATTAACCACGTGCACTCATTGACCTGTCTGTAGCGAGAGAGTTAACCAGTATCAGTTGTAAAAAGTTTACTGCTAAACTAAGTAATTCTACAGAAAAACGTAAAGCAGTTTGTGATCCAACTGCATGCTGTACTTCTCTATTTATCCAATATTAATACAATATTTTAAGTATTTGAAAATAATTCCATGTCCATTCTGGTGTACAAAAATATATTTAAACTTCTGTTTAAAAAGTTAAAAATTGTTTTGTACCTGGACCAGAATTCACCGAAACCCCTTAGTGTTATTTACATGTAACAGATGTAGTTACACCTAAACTAAGATACTGTAAAATACAGGTTTAAAAGAATTCAATTGATACGAGTCAACTGAGTTTCCAGAACATTTTGTTCCTACATTTTGAAATTTGTTGAGATTATGAATCAAAAACTTTGTATTAACTTTTGAAAAATGAAATTACTACTGTTTGAAAAAATTATTTTAGAACTGGATAGAAACCCAGGGATGAAATTATATTTTGATTTGATATAATACTTACAGTGTATATTATTACTTAAGTGAGGAAAATACATGTTTAAAAATGTTATCATAATGTTTTCTTTGACCTGATAATGGGAGTAGTGGTCAGCCTTGTGGCAGAGCACTGGATTTTGGAGCTAAGGAGATGGCTTAGGATTCATGGGGCACCATAATCTATTCCTCAAGTTGTGGGTGTATTGTAAGAGTGACAGTCAATCTCTTAGCATGAATGGTGGGTGGTAGGTTGCTGTTGTCTGCCTTCCCTAAAGTCAGTACTTCAGAATTAGGAATGGCAACAGAAAGCCTTAGTAGCTTTGTTATAAATACAAAATACCTGATGATCAGCTGGAAGTTTTCTCTAAGTATATTCATTGCTCATTATCTGGTCTGATACATGATGTTTTACTTGTTTGTGGTAATTAGATTGTTCATTTGTGATGATATTATTTGTCTACATGGATAATATTTTAACCTTGTGTTCATGGGTGGAGGTGAAAGTGTACATGCAGAGATCAAAATATTATGCTTCTGTCTTCCTGAGATCAAAATATTATGCTTCTGTCTTCCTGAGATCAAAATATTATGCTTCTGTCTTCCTGAGATCAAAATATTATGCTTCTGTCTTCCTGAGATCAAAATATTACTCTTCTGTATTCCTGAGATCAAAATATTACTCTTCTGTATTCTTGAGATCAAAATATTACTCTTCCATATTCCTGAGATCAAAATATTACACTTCTGTATTCTTGAGATCAAAATATTACACTTCTGTATTCTTGAGATCAAAATATTTCTCTTCTGTATTCTTGAGATCAAAATATTTCTCTTCTGTCTTCCTGAGATCAAAATATTTCTCTTCTGTCTTCCTGAGATCAAAATATTTCTCTTCTGTCTTCCTGAGATCAAAATATTTCTCTTCTGTCTTCCTGAAATCCAAATATTTCTCTTCTGTCCTCCTGAGATCAAAATATTTCTCTTCTGTCTTCCTGAGATCCAAATATTTCTCTTCTGTCTTCCTGAGATCAAAATATTTCTCTTCCATATTCCTGAGATCAAAATATTACGCTTCCGTATTCCTGAGATCAAAATATTACGCTTCCGTATTCCTGAGATCAAAATAATACGCTTATGTATTCCTGAGATCAAAATATTACTTTTCTGTATTTCTGAGATCAAAATATTACTTTTCTGTATTTCTGAGATCAAAATATTACTCTTCTGTCTTCCTGAGATCAAAATATTTCTCTTCCATATTCCTGAGATCAAAATATTACTCTTCCGTATCCCTGAGATCAAAATATTACGCTTCCGTATTCCTGAGATCAAAATAATACGCTTCTGTATTCCTGAGATCAAAATATTACTTTTCTGTATTTCTGAGATCAAAAATATTACTTTTCTGTATTTCTGAGATCAAAATATTACTTTTCTGTATTTCTGAGATCAAAATATTATGATTCTATATTCCTGAAGAATTTATCTTTGCTTGAGGAATTTAATGTTTTTAGTTGGCTTTCCTGATTCGGAATGCAGAGTCCATCTGTATTCCTTTAGTTATGACCAATGAAAGTGAACATACTGCATGGATTAAATAAATAAAAAAAACAATTCATGAGGAAATTCAACTTTACATGAACATAATTTTATTTCATTATTTCTATCCCTGACATGCCACAACATTGTACAGTGTCATGGTATTTGGTGTTTCATGTCAGTTATCAGCTATTCATTTTACCCTACACATTTAGCAACAGTTCCTGATAGAAGAGAGTAAATACTACATGCAATACCGATGGATACTGAACAAAACTGTAGATATTCATTTTGGTGGTTTTAGAGGTTATGGTAAAAGTATTTATATTCACCACATGAACATCACCTCGTACTCTTAACTTGTTGGATATCTTCTGTAGAACAGACTTCTACATTTTACTAAAAGTTCCCACATTTTGTATAGATATATACATAGTAAATTAAGAATTATAGTCAATATTCCTTCTGCTTTTAGGAGTCAGCCCATTGGATTGGCCCTGTCACCTTCAGTTAAATGGTGATATACAAATGTTTGTTCTGGTTTCAGAATATTATATGATTACATCTGTAATATTTTAAATGGTGATATGCAAATGTTTGTTCTGGTTTCAGAATGTTATATGATTACATCCGTAATATTTTAAATGGTGATATACAAATGTTTGTTCTGGTTTCAGAATGTTATATGATTACATCCGTAATATTTTAAATGGTGATATACAAATGTTTGTTCTGGTTCCAGAATGTTATATGATTACATCCATAATATTTTAAATGGTGATATATAAATGTTTGATCTGGTTTCAGAATGTTATATGATTACATCCGTAATATACAAATGTTTGTTCTGGTTCCAGAATGTTATATGATTACATCCGTAATATTTTAAATGGTGATATATAAATGTTTGATCTGGTTTCAGAATGTTATATGATTACATCCGTAATATTTTAAATGGTGATATACAAATGTTTGTTCTGGTTTCAGAGTGTTATATGATTACATCCGTAATATTTTAAATGGTGATATACAAATGTTTGTTCTGGTTTCAGAGTGTTATATGATTACATCCGTAATATTTTAAATGGTGATATACAAATGTTTG